CTGGAATCTATCTGATATTTATAAAACGTATTAAGTACGAGATTTAATCGTATTTCACATCATAAAGTTGTTTGTAAAGGAAGGATATTGAAAATTCTTAATCTGTTTATAAGTTTTTAATTTTTTACAGTAATTGTGGAAGTTTTTTTTACTTTAACTGTGCAGGCTATATGTGAAGAAGGAGACAATATGGTACTTAAATTTAACCATGCATTTGTTTTGCAAAAATTATCGACGCAAAGACTTCGTGATGATAAGTCATCTTTGGAAATGGTAACTGGTGCTGTGAATGATTTACGAACAGCTGCAAGGTACATATGCGTTTTTATATTCAGTATTTTGTCTTTTTCTAAAAATGGCAATATTTTTTCTTCATAGTTTTAGAATTTTCGAATATATATCGCGAAATAAAGATGATACCATGGGTCAAGCACGACTTGTTAGCCGGACGGTTTCTGCTCATGAAGCTCGGGCATGTTATGATTTTCTCACGCAAGCACAAACGTATCTTCAACGGGCCAAAGTATGTTACGTAATTATTAAAGCACTGTTGGTTATTTGATTATTAATATTAAAAACTAAAAATTTATTGTGTGCATATGGATTCATTTTTAAAATTTATATTGTGTCAATGAAAATTTTTTTTCTGCTTGAAATTAAACGTTTAGGCTCAAGATGAAGAAGATCAACGACAGCGACAAAGACAAGAAGAGGAGCGTCAGGCATTGAGAAGACAACAAGAGCAGGAAGTTAAGGAACGTGAAGAGAAAGCAAGAAAAGAACTGGAAGCTTTGAAACAAATGCGGCAGGAATACGTTGAAAAGACGAAGGAAATACTGAGATTACCAAAAGTATGATTTCTTTTCTGATTTGTTGTAAATAATCAAACGTAACTAGTAACAACTTTTTCACTTGTGTGCTTTAAAAATTCTCGTTTTGTAGGTGTAAAATAAAAATGAAGTGTTAATTAGCTTAGAATATAATTACAGATTGTCGAAGAAAAACGTGCTCGGAGAAGTGGCAGTGTTAAACGTCGTAAAGATCGTGAGGGAGATGAATTTGTCAATGATGATAGTGACTTAGGTGACTGGAAATCAAGTGAAGGAGGAGAGACGCGGAAAAAGGTCATTTTAAAAAGTTTTTGGTGAAGTATGATTGCCTAAAGTGAAATTCATTTTTTGTTTTTCAGAAAGAAAAAAGAGGGCGCAAAAAACGTGATCGTCGTGAGGTTTCAAGTGCTGGAAGCGGAGGAGAATTGGATGAAGCAGAGCGCCGTCATCGTCGAGAAAACCGGAAATCAAAGAAAATGCGTTATGATCGTACCGATTTTGAGATCAGTGCTAAACAGAAAATGAAAGGTTTTAATATTTTACAAATTTTTCCCAACAATTGGTCATTTAACTTTTCGATTACTTATTTATGATTTAAATATTCATTTGTTTGCGGGTCATATTCCCCATTTGCTTCACTTTAATCGTAGTTACTATTTTTCAGTAAAAAGTCGTGAATTTGTGCAGTCAGATGAATCGAGCTCGGATGAAGACATTGTTAGATCGAAATCACAAATTCAAGATCTTAGCGATGATGCTACTTCATCTGTAAATCGTCAAATAACAAGAAGTGATAGTAACGATGAAGATAGTACGCGACAGGTCGAGACCGATGATGATAGGTTTATATCTTTTTGCCATTAAAAATTGTATGGCTTTAGTATTACGCATTTATTTACTTTGTATGGTAGATGAAAAAATTTATTAATATAGATATTTAGGAAAGTTTAATGATTAGATGATGAATGCACTTGACATCAACATTTGAATGTCAGTTTCACTTGACTTTTCTTTGATTTAATTAGAACAAGAGAATGGTAATTATCGCATTTACCTTAAACATTTTTCTTACATTTTATATGCGTGTGCAATATAATATGAAATTTAAACCTTTATGTGAAAAAAGTATCAACTAATTCACTTTTTTTCTCATGATAATACCGTCTTTAAAGCATAAATGATGTATTTTAACACTTTCTTTCACAATTATTTTTTCATTTTTGTAGTGGTGAAGAATTAAAATTCAAGCAAATCTAAATTATTAAAGATCTGACTTGTAATATCTTCAGGCTAGGAACAAGATTGAAAATAATTCATAAAGAAATTATATGAAACAAGATAAATAAAGATAGTCAAAAATCAAATTTCTAAAAAGTAAGATATTCTTCAAAATCTGTTACTTTCACTCCGAATTAAAACTAGCAAGTTATTTTTCTGGATTCCCATATAACTATCTAATATTTGAGCGATGGCGACCATCCAAAGATAAAGCGTCGTGCAGCTCGCAGCACTTCGGATCAAATTGATAGTAGCAGTTCGTCAGAAGATCGAGCTCGCTCACCTAGTGAAAGCAATAGCGACAGTCAAGTTCAAGAAACACCGGTTAAAGCAGTGAGGAGAAGGCGAATCCTTTCATCAGACGAGGAATCTGAGAAAAATGTAGACATTGGTGAAATCAATGAAGAAAATAAAGATAATGACGATGAAGAAGGTGGTTTCGAGATTGGTGATGATGACTGATTTGAATTAATGTCATGCTTCTTTGCGACCTCTTAACTGTTTCCTTTTTGAATCTAAACTCTCTCCTTCTTTCAATTTTTGTATTGTTTCTAGTTTAGGTTATCATATTCATAAGTTTTCTTTGTATGACCATCATTTCCAATAATTTATATCTCTATTTTTGCTTCAAAAAGTTAGTATTGTTGTAATTATTAAGCCATATTCACTTCAAGTTGACCGAGTTTTACCCTTGTATTTTGTCATCCTTTGTATTACAGTAATTTGTGTATCACGTACAAGTTTTTAGAGTAATTTATTTATCTAGAGAAAAGATAGTTGCCAAATCTAACGAGAAAAAGTTCTAAAAATTGGATTGAGATCAAGAAAAAAATAACAGTAAATGTTCGATATGCTTTGCCACTGCTAACATAACTTTATAGTACAGTTTTTATAAAGTATCTGTGTATCATCACTTCACGATATCACACTTATTGGACACAAACGTTAGTTCTTAGTTGCTTACGCCATTTACTTCGTCGATTTTGAAACCATACTCGTACTTGCGCTTCGGACAACCCCAATCGTTCAGCAAGCATTTCACGCTCTGTTGAAAAAACCAATAATATGCAAAATCTACAAAAAGCTCAAAACACTTGAATATGGAATTTAGTAAGTAGAAAGAATATGGCGAAAATTCTGTGTAGTTGTTATGACGTAATCTTTCTAGGCTATCTTGAATTTCACATGTTTCCGTACAAACTTTTGAAACAGATCAAACTAAATTTTAGATTTTGATAAAGTGCGCTCTGACCTGGTCCTACCATATATTGTTGCTCTTCAAAAGCTTTCTCGAGGATTTTTGTTTGCGACACCCCGTAGATAGTGCGTTGTTTACGTCCGCTACTAACAGTACTTTCATCATGTGCATGTCGATTAGAAATAGTGGTATTGATGTAAGAAGAACGCTTGTGTACTGCGTCATTTGTGTGATTACGTAACAGACGATTGATAGAAAAGTCCGAGGTTCGCTTCCATTCAGATGTACAATTGGATTCAGAAGGACCAGAAATTGAAGACCGCTGGGTGTGAAGAGGCGTACAAGCAAAAGGTAAGGGGTATTTTGCCGAGGATGACCATTCGGTGGTATTCGAATGGTCTTTTGATTCTGTCCTCGAATACTGATGACAGGCTGACGCTGCGGAAGCATTGGTAAATACAGGACTAGGCATTGGCTGCTCTAAATGGTAGAAAGTGAGTGGTAACAATTTGTCTAGTGCGGGTATCAGAGGGAAGCAACAGTTAGTACCGAGGGTGGAACAATCCTTCAGGACGTTTGCATCTAAGAATGTATTAGTTCGGTTGCTTGAAGTTAAAGTTTGAGTTGGTTGCAGCAAATGATGAGAGAACGCTGTCGCAGGAATATTGGCAAGTAACGTGGAGAAAATTGCAGCAGAAGCAGTGCTTGAAACAGGAAGTGCTCCTCCTTCTGCAAACTCATGCTGATTCTGTGTCATGCATGGATCAGTCATATGTGATACTGTGCTTTCAGCCATGGTAGTTAGCGAAAAATGTAGGCACGTATTCCCTGGACACATAAACTGAAACTCATCTCTTAAATTCAATTACCTCTAACTAAAATGTGATAAGTGAAGCAGTGAAGCCATCATCCTTTCTTCTATTCAGAATCGTACCTTCAAATGTACGTTAAATGAATGCATAATTAATAAAGCTTCGTTCATTTTATTACTGCAGTTCGGTCAATTGCTATCAGTTAAGATGGAAAACTAATGTAAATATGAGTCAATATGTGTACAAACAAACTGTTACTTTTTTTACTGTCTGCAATAAAAATCAACAATAAAGCAGTTGCAGTAATAAGTTAGATAGTGACAACAAAATTGAGATAATAATAATAATAATTTAATGTTAGTTATTACTTAAATAAAAAATTATCGCGTGGATTGCAGTGAAAGATTTAAAACATTTCAATCATCAGTGACATACTTGGTAAATTTTTTAAAAAGAATGATCGAATTCGTATTAAGATCTAAAAATTGGCAAGAGTCTTAAGGAGAGAAAGTGTAAAATAGAAAAAAATACATGTATATAATAAAAATTGATAGATGAGAAATTGAAGGGAATAATGATAATAATGGATGGAAAGAAAATTAATCACAGAAAGTTTGAGAAGAATTACTTAAAAGTGTTCGGCAAAAGTACATGGAGTGTAATATGAATTTGATAAGAATTGAAATAATTAATGAATTAATTAATTTATAGGTAGTAAAAAAAGCAGGCAGACAGCATGAACAGAATTAAATGATTGAATGACTGACTGATTGATTGAATGATCGATTAGTAGATAAAATTGAAGAAAGGATACTAAGTAATTGAGTAATGGAGCAGAAAAAGGAGGAGCACTTTCAAGAGTTACTCATTATTTTATTAGTTATTCATTAGCACAGCGGCAGTAGACAGCACTTGGTGCCATTGAATTTGCCTTGTAAGTCAACACAACTTGAAAGAATTATCCAAATCCTCATTATCATTAATTCTAACTAAGACTTCACTGGCTATATCGTTTTGAAAACTTATGCACGTCCAAGCGTATATTTGAGTGTGCTACCGTACATGTTAGTATGTGCATATATATATGTTTGAAGAAGTGAATGTTTACGTCTGAATACGTGTAAGTAAACGTGATGACAATATATGAATGCGCGTATGTGTGATTAGAAGACTAAGAAATGATGAATGGATTTGGGTGCTAAAATGGGTACTAATTAGCATAGAGATAATTTGGTGCAGAGTGGTGCTGTCGAGAGAAAACGGAGTGAAAATTGGTACTGATTGTATGGAAGGTGTAGACAACACATTCTCCTCATTCTTCTAACTTAATTAATTCGCTTTTACTGCCTTACTCGCTCCTATCCGCCCATTTATGCATAAATTTGCTCACTTATGCATAAATTACCTTCCGCATGCGTTACTTTACATAATTATCATAGATGCTAGCTATTAATGCTGAAAATTATTATCACTGTCGCTGTTAATTGCTCAAATATTTTTTCACCATTACTGAGTTTCTCACTGCGATAATGATAATTAATTGATAACAATAACAATAATAATAAGATTAATAATAACAATAATAATCTTGAGAAATAATGGTTAGCTAAAGATGAATGGCAAGAAAAAAACAAAAAGTTGATGAGAAAAAAAATAAAAATTTAACCATAAAAATTATAGCAGTTTAGCCACAAATGATTATGATTTAGTTCAAATTTATCGAAAAAGATCAAATACACCTCTGTGGAGCAAAGAAAAAGTAAATTATTTAAATGAACAGTAGAAGATACAAAGGTGTGAATTAAGATTTTCATATTAATTAGCAGCAATGGCAGTGAGGCATGTAGTGAGACTGACTGAACTGGGAGAGTGGTTTGTTTAATAAGTTGGCTTAGGCTTAACGCAAAGCAAGAACGAAAGCATAATTTATTCATTTCACTTTAAAAGGATTTACGCGAGGGGAGGGAAAAAGAAGAACTAATTGTACTAACTTTCTCCTCCAATTAACCATTTATAAGCGATTATTGCTTAAAGTATTAAGTAATTACTTTACTCTTTCAGCCACTTATATTCATTTATTTCCATTACTTTGCAGTCTCTTTTATCCGTGTATGGGTAAGTAAGTAAGTATTAGTAATTGCTAATTGCAGTGCATGCAAAATGAAATTTTCACTTGTGCAAAAAACTTTGCATTAATTCTTTTGTTATTCCTTAAAATACGTGAGTATGCACGTATGTACATGTATGTATTATGTATGTGTGTGTTTGTCCGTGCAGTAAAGATTTAGAGCACGCCAATACTTACTAATACTTAATCATCTTCTTTCGAATTAATTCATGAGAAATTCACAGGTGAACTTAAATTGCAGTGCTATTTTACATTTTGATCAAATATTATTGCTTTAATGATTTTTTGCAAATATCGCATTCAACTGCTGATTGGTCTTGTTCTATGATTATCTTTTTTTTAAAATTATGATAGTGATTAAAGCGATAGTTGTATTAAAAATAAGTATTGTCGTGCTCTAAATCGTATTTTTTAATTGCATTAAAAACAATAGCATACATTTAAAAGACAAAGTTTTCTACTGCCGTCACATCAATTATTAAAAAACGATCTCTGCATCAAATTACAAAAAAATATGTGGCTGAAGTTATATGACTCGAGAGCTAATGCTAGTAGTTAAAGAGCGTAAGTCATTGGGGATATTTATTTTTTCGGTCCATATTTAATTTTCTGTAATGAACATACTTCAATATTTTTCAATAACAAACAAGAAATTTCATCTGTATGATTAGCATGCATCTTTATCAGTCTCTATTAGCGCTTTTAATAACAAAGTTATTTATTAATACTACGGACTTAATATAATAATTTCACTGCGAATTGAAATTTCAAGCTTTGTATGACTCAGGAACTACTGCTAGTTGAAGTTATCTATCTCTATTAATAATTTGAGCTAATGCTACTTAATGTTACACAGTAGGGTTGAAGCCTAATTTGAGAGTTTGTTTTTTGATACCCCTGCTTCGCAAGGCTATTTAATTAATTGGATTGTTAAGCTTTTCGTTGAAAGAGAACGAGTTTTTAATTATGCATATTTAACTTTCGACATTATAGCTTTATCTAAGTTCATTGTTAATTGAAAATGTAGTAAATTTTATGACAGGAAATATTTAATGAAGCTTTTGAAGTATGTATTTCGATAAAAATTAATTTCCAAAGTCAAGAATTATTTACATACGAGAAATGAGAGCGAATAACTATAACCAATTAAAATGAACTTAACTATTAATAGCCATTCAAATGCTTTGATTTTTTGTGTCTAATTTGCCAAGCAAAAGCAATTTTCATCGCTTTTTCGTAAAAAATAAGTTTTAAGATAAATTAATGCTTACTTTAAAATAGTCACAATTTCAAAACAGTGATAATAAATAATTGACTTTGATGATTCATGTGACTACACTTATATTAATGGTAGCAAGAGAGATTAAACGAAAAATTTATAGCGGTTCTTAAAGTTACCACTGATATGAGCCGCTGATCAAAATGAATTAATTAATAATAATGTCATCAGAACAGTAATCTTGTTTTTTTAATTATTAAAATAAGAATGTAAATAATGGTCAAGGTGAATGAAGGGAAAGTTGGAGATTGAATAGGGAACTAATTGACCCCAAAGAATATGCCTTTTTGGACCATTCAATTGATCACTCATTACTGCTGACTTGTTATTATTATTGATTACAAAATATTACCTTAAGTATTTCTATTCCTACCATATATCCTTATAGCCTTAATCAGTACTAGAACTCCATCCAATAATCTTCATCGATATTAGTACAAAGAATATTAATTTAAAAAGCATATGGCATTAAGATATGTCTTTATCAATTAATTTTTTCGTAAATTTTCTATCATTAACCGTGAGCGAAATGTAATTAAAAACGATCATATATATTAAGTATTTTCCTGCCCTTTGACTGCCATGCTTTAACAGGAACAAACGCTTGGCCTGATCACGGCTTAGAGAAAAAAATGAACAGCAACAGCAATAACAATCACATTGACGGTACTGACATTTACAAGAAGTCCTGAAATTGTGTAAATGCCAATGATATTTTACCGTCGTGATAGTGATTGATAATAATGTGATTTTAGCTGGATGGATTCTTCGAAAATAACTCATATAAATCCTACTCTTGTCAATAATATAATGCAAGCAGTTCTTTCTTATAGAAATTAGACTCACTAATTCCGTTCTGACTAATAATCGAAAAAATAAACTTTGTAGAGTAATAGTATTAATTGTTATTATCAGCGTGCATTGAGATATGAAGAAAGTAAGTCACTTTTTTATGACCATATGCAATAAATATTTATTCCTCAGTAACGACAAAACGGCGATAATATAAATGATAATATTACAAGGTGCTTGCTGATAAAAATTAATAAATTCTTACTGAAACTTAAGTGTATCAAAATACCGTCATAATTCATAAAAACACAGAGAAAACAACGTTGAATTCTAATTTACTGCTCCAGGATGAGCAGTAAATTAAATTTGAAAGAAAGTTTAACTAACAGAGCAAATGTTGGAAATCACGCTAACACTAATTAAATTATGTTCGACTGATAAGTTGGGGTAAACCACTGGTAATCGTTTATTTACAATCCACTTAATCAAACAATCTCCAGATCGATCAATCAATCATCAATCAACAGGTGGTCAAGATCTTAAATATCAATGAACAATTAGCTGAAAATGAAAATTTTTGAGAGAGATAAATCAGTCAGTAGAAGCTTAACATTCAAAAAGTATTGGCAATGATAGTCTGCTCGATCGCTAATCAAAGCAAAAGAAATGCAAATTGCATGCATTATATCGAAATAACTTTAGCATATAAGGAAGAAATGATTGATTTCACGTAGACTTTATGCGAGAACAAAAACTGCTCCACCACATTTTGCTACAAATTTTTTCAGTTCAAAACATTTTCACGGTGATTACTTATGCAAAATAAAGAAATGCTAAATAATTCACAACTATTATTCTATGTGTGTCAGTAATGTCACAAATTAACAAATTAACTAGTGCCATCTATGTGCATGCAAATATGCTAAGGTTAGTTTTATTTTTTCACGTGACAACTATCTGCTTTTCATTTAGTAATCACCCTTTTCCATCGTTAAGTGTCATTTACAGAACAACTAAATTAATCATAAGTTTTTTAAGGGTCGCCTTGACAAAATCGACAATTAAACAACAATTCAGTTTTCATATAGCAAACAAGTCAGGTTTAAAAATGACTGTTTCCAATTATACTCTTGCATCATCAATCACAGCAATTGCTTCGATTTCTACACGAGCATTTTTAGGTAGAGCCGCCACCTGCAGAGAAAACTTCAATTTCAGCTGTTCATAAATGAATATAAAATCAGAACTTTCAATAGTTGAAGATGCAATGCATCATTCAGCTACTGAAAGCTGTAAAAATATCAATAAGTCTAATGATATTTTTACAACTTGCACGAAGACTAATTTTTCTTTTTTATGATTTTAGACAGAATTTGAAACATTCAGACAAAGTAAACATCGTCTTCTTTCCTAGCTCTTCAGCTGAATATAAACACAAAATTATGCAAAATTTGCACATTATACCTGATAGGTGACACGAGCCGGAAAATCCTTGCAAAAATATTGTTTATAAACATTATTCATGACATCGAAATCCGTCATGTCTGCCAATAATACAGTGGTTTTCACCACTAAATTATGCAAACATTACAATGAAAAATAATGCAACATTCATTCTTTACTTTGAAGAGTAATTAGCCTTGCTTAAGTCATTTACTAACAACGAAAACTACCATCTTAGGCTGACAATTTCAAAGTGAAAGGGCTAAATCAGAACTAAAGTATAAAAAGTTTGCAAAATATATCATAAAATAATTCATTTGCTAGCATTAAAAACTACTATTTTTGACTAAATTTTTGTGAACATAGCTTTCAAACTTGCCGCTACTATAATCACAGCCAGCAGCTTCAAGAATAGCACCGATATTTTTCAAAGTTTGTTCTGTCTGTTCTTTTATGCTTGCACCAGCAAAATCACCTGTTTCAGGTACCAGTCCCAACGAACCACTAATGTACAGAATTTTGTCCACTTGCACTGCCTGACTGCAAATATACACGAAACATAATTATTAACAATAGTGGTAATCGTCAACTATTTATTCTTATCCAATGAAAACAATCAATGTTCATAAGTTAGGATGGAATAAAATTTGCAGCAGTGACAACAATTAACATGATATTTTTAGAGTTTTCTTCTGATTTTGGCTAAAAAGACAAACGTCTATCAGTTACACCAGAAAAGTTAATACTATTGCGTAGCTACCCAATCTAATTTGTAAAAAAGGGATTAATTAGTAGGGATAAAGATTGTTCAACGTTACTAAACTAAGCTTTCAAACCTTTCCATCGATTTGCTTCTAATTTTCCTTTCCCACACTACAAATTATCAATTGTGAAATGGAATTTAATTGTATCTCTAAACTGATAACAAAATGACATTTCCTTAATAATAAAAAATTAAAAATGGTTGTTCATAAATTGAAAAACTATTCTTTCACAGATACGAAAAATTGCTACTTAATGCAAAGTATTATCAGCTCGAATATATGTAATATTCAGTCGTTTGCAAGCAATTTTTCCTCCATAAGAAGTTATTCATTACTTTTTGTGAACAAAAACTCATTAGGGAGACAAGTTTTTTCTCACTTTTTAAATGCATTTGCCAGCCACCAATGCTTTGAGAAAAGTTTTTGCATGCAGTAAATATGCAAAAAGATTTTTTCCGCTTTTTATGCTAATGCAATTTTTGCAACACGAAAGTTTTTCATGAAATTCCTCCATAATTTAATCGCTTAGCAGTCTGGCAGTTAATGATGATTCGACAAATTTGTAGAAAGAGAAAATTTTTAATGTTACATAATTTATTTCAAGTCACAAGTGATATCACAGCAAACATAATTTATATTCTGTAAAGTTTAACACATATTACACCCTACCTGTATGGTCCAATAGCTGCAGGTGCTTTTTTGGTGGCAATAATTTTTCGTAAAATTTGACCTCCTGTTTTACTTGCCATTGTCTACAAAAAAATTAAGTTTTCCAAACTTCACATTAGATTTATTACTAATATATTAATAGGTTGAGATCTTCTAACAAACACATCAAATATTGATTGAACTGGAAAATCAAAAAAAATTAAAGTTAAAAAATAATCAAATTATTTGGTTTTTTAAACTCTAAATTTTCACAGAAATTATGCCAAAACAATTACTTTGTGTTATTTGACCTTTTTAAAAAAAAGTGAAATTAGAAATCTTAGAGAGAAAGTATTTCGATACAAAATTAAGGGTTAGGTTTCATTATCAATGATAGAAAAGTGATAATTCATTGCTTATCTCAATGATGTGTATGAGATAAGCAATGAATGATCAATTGAATAATAAATTAGATATAATTATAACACTAAAGAAAACAAAGTTAATACCAGAGGAACCAAAATACTTCAAAAATTTGTGGTGAAGTTTGAACTTTCAATAAAATTATAATGAAATAACACATAAAGTGATTTAAAGGAAACTCACTTCTTTTTAATTAAATTTTATTCAAAATCAGACTTTATTGATAATTATATTATTTACACAGATATAATATTGAAAGAAAGAGAGCTAAAACTTGAATAAAACTTGGATGAAAACAAAGTTTATAGCAGCTTAAAGCAAGTGAACTGTTAAATTAATCCTTCTAAATGATTACAAATTTTTTGCAATTTCGAATTATAATTTACAAACAAAACTTGAAATAGCGAAGTTATGAGAAGGAAAAGTTCCTTGTTCAGTAATTGAAAGTTACAAAATAATCAGAAAAAGCAAGAAATGTTCCGAAAATATACATTAGCAATAGTCTTAGAAGCAATATTTCAATATGAACTTAAAAAATGATCAAATGTAGCAAACATTTGTGATAATGCAGCAAATTTAAGCTTTTTTTACAACACATAAATTTGAATTTTTTTCGATCTCATATAAATGATTGACTGGAAAGCGAAGAATTTTCTGAATGTCAAGCAAAAATAAAAATTTTTCAATTTGCTTTGAAGCTTTTTTCTCAATTCTCATTCAAACGAAGGGAAAATGTCTTAGAGAATTTGAAAGAGTGAAGAAAGCAAAGAAATAACTCTTCGAAGTCATAATTAAAGCTTAGATAAATTGAATAAAAATTAATCTTAATTGTCATCTTTATTGAAAGTAAAAGAATGAAGAAAATTAGGTTAACTCTGAAAAAACTGAATATATGCAAATTTCTTTGTTTCTACTATGTCTCACAGTTTTGTTTTCGTAGGAAAATTGATGAGACCCGAACCAAATTCAGGAAAAACTTCTGCACATTATATGCTTGTGCTTATTTGGTAGGAAAAACTTCTTTCAGTTTTGAGCAAAAGTTGAGCAAAAGCTATTTTACTCAACTGAAAGCTAAAATATAGCAAAAAAGGCTTTTGCAGAGATAAAACAACATCAACTGTAAACTAACCTCTCAGGATCTAGGTGCTCTAGCTTTTTTGTTTTTTAAAAGTTGTTGGACTTGATCAATTATGCAGACGTATCTGAAATATATTTGTTGAATTAGTTTACCCGCGTTCAAAATGTTGAAGCTTTTATTTGGACTTTCTAATGGATAATTGAGTCCTGTATAACAGAAACAAATTAATTCTGCAACTTCCCATTTGAAAATAGAAAGTAAAAATAAGCATTTTAATTTAAAATCAAAAGTTCAACAATTTCTAGCGACTATTCTAATCTCTGACACTTAAACCAAATTAATATTTCACTTCAATCTCTCTGCACGTCAACGAAACAAAAAAAAACTAATAAGACCATAAATAATTGCTTTTCAGATAGAATTATTACCGAAATTCAATAAAAGGCAAAGGTAATAATGTCCGTAAAATGTAACAGAATATTTTTTAAATAACTGTGATTCATGAATTTTAACCTCATGCTGTTTTGTTGAATGAACTTTAATCTCAAAAGGCTATAGAAAAATTTAAGGAGTCAAGATAGCTATAATCGGATTTGCAACTAGAAAGTCCGTTGTACTTACTCACGAAAGTGATAAGATCAATAAATGACTTTCGGACTTTGATCTTAAATTTAATGCTTTATTTCAGATGACCGCTTAATTTGTATAAAATTTTTATGAGACTTAAAAAGCCCATAGCGTGCAGTGCTTTCATCTGCTCGTACTACCATTGCATTATCTACGACTTCAAGACACGCAATTCATGAGGATTTCTTGGTAGGAATACACATATAATGACAATGGAATACTCTGACTCAGATTTCCGCGAATCTATGCTTATAATCTGCCCTAATCCAACTGAAACTGAATAAGTATAATTCATTATCTTGAACCAGGTACAGAAAGGTTAACAAAACAGACAGTCTCTGAGGAATACGTATGCTCAAAATAGGAATGCATCGATATGCAAACGATGTAATCTCAGAACAGCATGATAAGAGAGAGAGTGAACCGTTCAGACCTGTCATTCAAATTATGAAAATTAACCTACATTTCACCCAGATGACCTTGGAAACTCCCTTCATTATTCAGATTTTTATACACACTTTGCTTTGCTTGTCTGCTCTCTTCGTTGGTAAAGTGTAAAGGTCAGTAAAGTGTGGGAAATTAAATTTACCGTAAATTTTACTATTCACCGCAATCATTTTAAGACACTTATTAGAAAATCGGCAGGTTACAATGCAAAACCGAAAACTCTTTTCTAGAGAATTAATTTGCAGGTAAGTCGTTGGAGTTAACGAGCATAGACAAAGGTTTTACGCACACACAGACACACACAGACTGCTATGTTATCCTTCACAAGCATATTATACGTGTGCAGCTAAACATCTTACGTAGACGTTAAATTATGCATCAAATTAAATACACACGCATGACTCGTTTTCTCACTTCTTGAATTGGAAATAATTTGGAGTGACACCTGAGAGCATATATGTTTGAAACTATTACTTAAAACCTTTGGTCGCAGTTGCATATTCACTTTCATTAATCTATTCTGTTCTTTGCACCCCCTATTCTACGCCATCTCAATTTATTCCCTTTCTGTATTAATAAAATTTCCTTTCCTCACTTTCTTCTACTTTCATACGTATTATTTCATTCTTATTCATTTATTATCACACTCTTGTCCAATTTTCTGTATCTTTATGCTATTTATCCCATTCTATACTATGCTCTACCATCCCACTCTATTTTATTCCACTTCTAAACAAACCATATGGGATCTCATTTGTGGTATTATTTGATAGATTTTTAATTGTTCATGTTAACAGTTATGCATGCAGCTGTGCATGCAAAATACTTTTGACTCAACAATGGAACAATGCCAGTAAATGTTTAACAAAACTCATACAATTAGTAACAATGAAAAAAGTTTTAACGCTGCTAATTTAGTGCAGAGTGACACTACTGGATTGGGTAGGATGAGTTTGTTCTCCTTCAGATATCTATCTATCTGACAAGCAAGCTTTTTAATTTTCAAATGTTATCTTTCAATTTAGCGTTTTACAGCGCATCTTTTGGCAAATCTTTTTCGAATGTACTCCTCTGTAGCACAAATTTCGCACCAAAAAATTTGTAATGAAAAATGGGAATACTAAAATTCCTGAGGAAAAACTTGACCTGAAAACAATATCCAAAACCAAAGTAACCTGCAATTAATTTTAATTCCCAGAAATTTTTCCGCAATTTTTCAGTGTCAGTGTGAAAGAACCTAACTAAAATTTAGTATTTAAGAATTTGACCTAAATAAAAAAAAGTTCTGACTTCAATGTGTATACGCTTCTATGAGTGCTATGAATTAAATTTTATGTGTTTCAGAATTTCTTTTGAAATTAAAAATTTAACTCATAAAATTTTCTGCTCACAAAACTCGAAATAATAAATTCAAGCATTGAGAAGTCTAAAATTTGTTGTGTCCAATTGATTAAAAAATTAAAAACCTATTAATTAAAAATCAAATAACACGCTCTCATATTATTTAATATATCAATATTGTTAATATGTTACTTATTATATTAATAGGTATTACTTATTAAATACTATATATTAATATTATTTATCATGTTATTGTATTAATATATCGTTCATTATATTGATGTTATTGTTATATTTATTTTTTACATCAATATATTAATAATATTATCGATATATTATTAAAATTACTAATAACAATATAATATTAGTATATGCGTATACATTGCAAATGCTTACAAGAAATCGAAAATTTCGTTCTGCATTTGAATTGTAAAGATTGTCGAGAATAAGAAGGAATAAAGTATTATTAAAAAACGAAATTATTTAATAATCAATGAATGAATCAGGTCACAAGTGTCTGACCCGAATTATATTTTGGAACAAAGTTTCAGTACTTGATACACGCAAATAGCTCTCAAAATTTGTTGTGTCCAATTGATTAAAAAATTAAAAACTTATTAATTAAAAATCAAATAACACGCTCTCATATTATTTAATATATCAACATTTCAGGTTACGAGAATATTACTTAAATTAAACCATTTACCCATTAGGGAGAAAAAATGCTTTGTGTTGGTTAGCAAATGAGCTTTTCAATGATTCAGCTAGTTCTTATTGTCAGGATGCAATTTTTATGCATGAGTCTGTACGTATGTGTATACAATACATTTTCCAGCGTAAACATTTCAGCATTGATCTGATAATGATTGACTTGAGAATAATTCATTATTTATTGAAATGTTTATTAATGTTAGAATCATTTCAAGTTATCAGTACAGTGGAACTGGTAATGGTGACTCATTGAACTGTTGCAGCTATTCATCTGAAATGAAGTTACGGAGATTGAGTGCTACTCTCTTTCATCCTCGCTTTTCCATAATTACTGAAGGATATTTTAATGTGTACGTTAATGTTTAACTCATCTAATATCAACATTATTTACGAGACAGAATTAATTCAGTGAGAAATGAATTTGTGAATAAACTGCGTATGTCTCTTTGAGAGTGAAAAATTCCCTCTGAAAGTTGAATAAAGGATGATGCATCATTGCAACTAAAATTTATGTAGTCATTCATTGATTCCTCCATTCGTTCATTCATTCATTCAATCATTCATTTATTCGTTCATTCATTCATTCATTCATGTGTATGTGATGAATAAATTAGGAGATGAATAGAGTGGACAGAGGTAATCATCTCAAGTGGTCACTCAAGTTGTAATACTTACCAAACTGCCAGTTACTTGCCGTTTGATGCAAAGAATTGATAAGTTCACCGTTATCATATCTCTCTGTTCTGCATCTCTGTCTCTGTTTAACCTGTCGAGAGAGATGCAGAGAAAGAGAGAGGAGAGAAGTAAACGGTTGTTTGCTTGTCCTTTTCGTTGTTATTTCTGTACAAAAATGAATACAAAGTTTTGCATTGCATTGCTTAATAATATATTTATTTGTATACAAATCTAACAGCAGCAGCCACTACAACTCATGAAGATCTTCAAACCGCAATAATTACACTTTTCACATTGCTCTGAGAGAGAAAAAGAGAAAAGGAGGGAGGCGGAGAAAGAAGTCCTCAAGAAGGTTTTTCTTCTAATCCCATATTTATAATACTCTCCATGACCTCATGCGTACTGCAAGTCATGACCTCGACATTCTATATTTCCATCACATAAAGGGTCAAAGCTTTGTGATCAATGTTACATGAATGTGTGTAAAGACTGATTCAAAGTAAGCAAATGTAAAATAGTGGCAGTAGTAGTTGTGTTGTTTGCATTAGTAAAACGATGTGACTACTCAATTCAAACAGGTCTAACTTTGAAGCATTCCTTCCTTTTTCATCTTCATTTTTGTTTGTCTCTGTGCTCTGAATTAAATAAACAAAAACTATAACAATTCACTTTCTCTTTTAATCATTACTTTTTCTCGAAAGACCAACAAACACACGTATGTACAAATGCTTACGTGCGTGTCTGTACGTGAACTCCCTCTATGATTTTTCTAAGCGCACACTCATTTTAAATTTTAAACCAAACTTTGATCGATGCTTTCCTCCCATCTGAACACCAATACATTTTATTTATTCATTTTTGCGCCTTGCAAGCCAACACTTTTTCACTTTTGCTGAATTTTCTCCCTCTGCATAATTTTTCTTAGCTGTATTTGCATTAGCTAAACGACGTGACTACTCAACTGAGACGGGTCTCACTTCGAAGCGTAAAAATATAATTCTCATTAATTTGCATATTTTTTTCGATACATTGTATTACTCTCATTTATTTGCATATTTTTCCGTTCTTTCATTTCAAATTGCTGCCAACAAATCTCCAATTTTCCATTCTCCAGCTATTGAACAAAAAAAAATTCATATTTATTTCTGCTTTTGAGAGGGACAAAAAATCTTTATTTCAACTCATGAATGCAATTTGGTGATGTGATTTTCATGATTATAGCTTTGAAAGAATCACTTCGATTTAAAATTACAATAGTCAGTTTAGTTATTTCTATAAAATATTTATTATCGCTATAGTAACACGATCAATGCAAAATTTTCAAAGCTATAATCGTTATTGATATTATTGCTGTCATTCATAAATATTATGTGATTTCAATATTTTGAATTTTTCACTCGGTCTAAACACTTGCACATTGAGTTAAAATCTTACTAATATTTTAGAAGATTTGTTTGATGTTTAGAGACATTTCTGTGCTTAAGAAGTGAAAAATTCAATTCTAATTGAATTTAATGATGTTTTTTATCAATAAGCATTTTATTATTTATATACATAAAACAGCAAAAGTCGCATATGTTAACTTCTATTAGGTTCAAATATTTTGGTCATATATTTTTAATATTTTGATTATAATTAAAACTTAAAATTCTCTCATGCTAAATGATTACTATTTTAACTATTTTTCACGATAGTTTTACAGGCAGAAAAACCAATGCTATTAAATCTGCTATGGATATTTGTAATATTTCAAAATTATTTTGTTGAGATAAATTCACAGATTATGATGGATTTTGCAGCGACGAAAATTTTTGCCACTGAAAAAATTATCTACCTTTGACAGAAACCAAACGATAATTAATGAAATTTGCCTTCCTTCAATATTCTGGACTCTTACAAAGCGATTTGCTATTCTTAACACCGAAATTATATCTGTAACAGTTTCACTACGAATACTTTTAAAAGAAAAGTTTCGACAATTACTTGATAGAAATGTCGAAAATGATATTATCATTAATACATCTAATGCCTCGCCAGAGATTGAATATGATGATAATTTACTATTTTTTTATTTGCTATTACTTGTACGATTCATTAGCTGTTGTTTCGGCTTTTAATCTTGATATTCACGCTCCAATTTATAAAATTGGCCCTAATTATTCATATTTTGGTTTTGCTGTTGCGGAACATTTCAAGGCAAATATTCCGGTGTAAGTTATTATTAATATTTACTCTTTACTCTCGGTTTAACAAGATTTTCCTGGCAGGTATCAGTGTTATTTTTATTAGCATTTGTGTTAATATTGAGGACGCAAATAGTTTTAGCAACAATAATCATTACATGAAAAGATTTCATTGAGCATAAAAGTTTTCTAATGTCAAGAAAACTTGGAATGGAAGATATCATTTGATATTTTTCTAGTTCCTTTCTAAAAATTGTTATTTTTTGATTTCTGTTCTTAGTATAATAATTGCTTTGCCGTCATTATCTATTACTTAAAACATTTAAGAAATTTTTAAAATAATGAAAACATACTTCTCAGATGGTTATTGACTTGTACTTTTGAAATAACACAACTTTACTCTGATTATTTCATTTTGATACAATTCTGCAATTATTTTAACTTTTTTATTACCGAAGTTTCAGACGTTGATGTCAAGTCCAACTTTCATTGCCCAATTATCTATCTATTTTTTATGCGAAAAAAAGCTCAAAATGGATTTATAATAATATTCGTCAAGAAATAAAGCATTTCGATAATGAAATAATTGCGCTTCAAATAATTATTATCAATTACAACAATAATTTGCCAAAAATTTTTGCCACAGATAAGGCCATGTTGAAAAAGCCTTCAGAAGTTCAGTAGCGATAGAATTGAATTTGTTTAAAACATTTAATTTTTTGAAAACAGTTCTGTCAGCAATTTGATAGAGATATAAATATGAAATAAGTAATGATTTGAAAGCATCTATGGGAATTAAGAAAGTTTCTTAACGCTTGAAATTTTGATGATGTCACTGGATATGTGCAGTTTTCTAGTTCAAAAAATTTTAAGTATGAATATGAAATAAAATTTGTGAGTATAATTTCCAGAAAACAACTGTTGCACTGTTGAAAAAACACCACCTGTTTAGTGTATTTTATAACTTTTTTCCGAAAATTTTATCACATGCAATTTACTGTGTATTTATCGTAATTAAAGTAAAACCGATATGATAATTTTGTTTGCATTTTTAAATTTAACTGTATGAGAGTTTTAATTATACTTTAGACTAATCCTGAATTTAGATATCAACTATGAGTAGATTCAATAGTACGAGTAGATTTTCTGCTCTGTTATAATCTTGAAGACTCATGTTTTTGATGAATAAAAAATGACAGGCTAAGCATTCATAAGCAACTATAACTATGATAAAATTGGATTTACTGACCCAACTATAAGTCTCAGAAAGATATTTAAAACGTAGGGAAATTAGTTTTGATAAGATTTTCACATTTTATTCCCCGGTTAAGAAAATATAAATATGTTAGCATTATTTAATCCATTTTTGAGAATTGGAGATTGCATAACCAAATTTCTTGAAATGCGCAAAGATGGAATCCCTTTTCAAATTCGGCTGAAATAAAATGTGCAAAGATCAATTCTTGGAAGTAGAAATGGAGTAATTTTTCAAATTTTCTGCATGTGGGGAACGCTGTAAGTATACTTAGTATGAAATTAACTCAAATTTCAACAGCTAAGCGGATTTGGATAAAACACATCTATTTCCACCTGGAATCGAATTACTGTAATTAATCAAATTGCGTTGCTAAGTTTGTTTTTATGAATAACCAAATTTTTTGCGGAAAGAAACATGCAGAATGAATGCTGTAGATCATAATCTGTCCTTTTTAACTTGTTAGGGAAAGAAGAAAAGTGATATAAAAAAACATTCTAACTCTTTAATAAAAATTCAGAGTTGGATATGCAATTTTTTTTTGATAATTAATTGCAAAAATTTTCAAAACAATTTGTTTGAGTCTCTAATTGTATGTTGGCTCAAACAAATTGTTTTAACTCAAATTTGAATTTATATTTCGGGTTTCCTATTCATGCAGAATCATGATAGCTTTACTTATCTGAGCTTAATTTTGATTTCAAATTTTATTTTTTGATAGATGACTGACAAAAATTAGCAATTAATTCAAATAGAAGTAATTCTTACATAATTCAAACACTAGCTCTATAACTTGAATTTTAGACAGTAACTCGAGACCCCACGATCAATTCAAAGTCTTGCAAACATTTTCAGTATACTGCAAACAATTAAGATCTGACTTATCGAGTAAATATAATTCAGCTCACGAGTTTACTCAAATTATTCAAAAGTTAACTTCAAAAAATGATCTGTTTGCTATCAATCAATAGCAAATAATAAATTTTGATAGAAGAAATGGCAATTAATTACAAGAAGTAATTATCAATATATCACTTTAGATCAAAGAATCCCGCGACGAAATTTAATCGAAAAATCTATTCAAATTTATAAATGACATTGAGAAAATATCTAAAAAAGAGTGTGTGCAATAGTTCTTTTTTAGCAAATAATTATTGAAGCGTGAAGTAATGTATTGCATATTTGCAGGCTATTTCAGCCGTTTCATTCCAATGATTTTGCTTCTTTGCATAGCGTTTTTTGCAGTGACTTCTGCTTGAGATCGGACAAGAAATCTTGAAGGACAACGGCCAGTTTGTCCTCCTTTCTCTCAAAAAAGTGTATCGTTTCTCGGGCGAGAAGCTTTGATAGATTGATGACTTTCCATTTTGTATTCACGAAAAGAATCATTGTTATTCAACACCTTTTCAAAAAGAAATCATGAAAATTGACATTCCTTGAAGTTACTTTGCAATACGATAAAAGATTCGAGATATTTTGCGATCATCTTAATAGTTTTATTAAGATGATCGCAAAATATTAAAAGATTTGGACAGTACTGGTAGTGAGATTGCTGCAATACAAAATTCTCTGTAATAATGCTCAGTTTTATCAAAATTCAAGCATACAAATATTATTATTATTATTATTATTATTACTATTATTATTATTATTATTA